TAATAGAAGAGAATGAAACCATAGTAATAAGAACAAGAAGTAAAATTCAACGTTATCATGCAAAAATTAGAAACAAAATAATTATTAATGAATTTTTTCATAGTTCTCTTCCGGTATATCTTTTTGTGTTGAACAGCCGACGCGGAAAAAAAATTTTCTTTTCTTATTTTCACGTTAGGATTTAACTTTGTGACACCAGTTTATCAAGTACGATGACAATTCTCACCTTGCCAACTGTATCTTGATGCTTCATAGTCAAGTCATTTGGAAAATAGAAACATTTCGTTTGCTCAATTCGTATTTTTCTTTGAAGTTTCATAAGTAAGAGACAATGGACTCTCTATTTTAAAACAAATTTAATTAGAGTCACGCAAAACAAGTTTATCATATTATTGAAAAAAACACATGTCAACAACTTACATGTATCATTCAAAATAATAAAAGTTTATACGTTTGTATTTTTTGATTAAGAAATTAATTGAGACCTTGAAATAATAGTGGTAATATTGTTTCACAGAGAGAGAGAGAGAGAGAGAGAGAGAGAGAAAGAGAGAGAGAAAGAGAAAAGCAGAGAGGGGCAGAGAGAGAAAGAGAAAAAGAAAAGAAAATATGGTGTATTACGTACACACACACTACTCTTACAATAACAACAGAGAGATCTATACAGAAAATATTAGTGTCTACTACTAGGGAAACATATTTAAGACATTTAAGGAAGAAGGAAAAAAAAGGATGTCAATTCATTTTTTCTTCAAGTATCCTTTTTCATGAATTTACGGAAATGTGTAAAAAAAAAAAAGAGAAAACGACGTGAGTTTTCACAAAAGAAGAAGAAAAAGCGAAGGAAATTATTGTGTATGGTGATTTTCTTTAGTGTAGGGGGAGTTTAGAGGAGGGTGTTTTTTTCCCTCACTCATTGTATTTCGAAACAGGAACATGGAAAAAACGTTAGTTTTTTTCGCCTTTTCTTCTTCTTTTATAGTCGTCAATTAAAATTGTCTGGTTCTGAAGAGAAATGAATACTTTCCTTCGTTATTGTATATAGTCTTTGGTAGATTAGAATATGATATTATTTTGATTATATTGTGTTTTCTATAAGAAATAGAAAGAAAAAGACTTGACTTTCTTTCTTTCCATCTATTTCTTTGTTGAAGTTATTTTCTAATATATAGCTATATAATAAAGAATGAAAAATAGGGAGAAAAAACATCACTCTATGAGAACTTACACTGTACTAAGGCCGAATGCTTAATGGCCTATCCATTAATTCATAGAATAAAGAAAGAATTTTGTGTGTATATTATTTAATTATGTGTTGAAAGAAAAGACTATTATAACTACCATAATATCAGAAACGAAAACTTGATTATTAATAGAATGTTGTTTTCTAAATTAACTAAATCGTTGAGTTTTTGCTCTATATGTGATAATATAGTTTTGTGAGTTTTGTACTTCAATACAACTAATTTTCAGATTATTAACGGGTCTAGTCTAATAATGTTCTATATTGAAAATTTATATATCAGGGAATCTAATGACATAATTATTTAAAAAAATATTCGCAAACTACTTTGACAAAAATTTTATCTACAGTCTGACAGTATGACTGATGAAGAGAATATTCTTTCTTTCTTTCTATTTTTTTCCCTTTTATATTCGATACTAAATAAAACAATTTTTCCTTACTGTTTCCCCTATAGCTGTCACTTGCAAGCAGTTAATTTTTAAAATTATATGACAGCTCGTCTATATTCTTATTGTTATTTCTAAATAGGGTAAAAAAAATAAAAATAAATAAATTAAATCAATGACATTTCTTTTCATACTTCGCTTTTGCCTATTCATATTAGACATTTTAGTATACAGTTAATTTTCCGTAATAATAATTATGTCATTAATCCTCAAATGTAATATAATTCACATGCCATATACTACTGTACTCATCACTGCATAACTTTCGTAATATTTTCTCTCCTAGTCTCTAATATTGACTTTTACTCTTCTATATTATTAAATTGATACAATTGTTTTCTCTAATTTAACAACAATAACAACAGCGACAACATAAGGTCACGCGTACATATATACATTTTTTTTCAATATATGTGCTAATAAAAATAGCTGTGACATTCAGACATCATAGATTTGTTGTACACAAAATGTAAATAAAACCAAATACGTTATTTTTGTTACAGATTAGAAAACGGTACTAATTACACTTGCATGAAATTGAAAAAAAATATTATCTTTTTATATATAATTTTCTTTCTCAACAGCTAATGACAATAGTTTCAGGATTTTTCTTTTAGAGTGATCTTAGAGATAAAAGAATATAGCATATACCAAACGAAGACAATATTTTCAAATGTCGTAGAAAAATTGAAATATCGTATTTTATCAGCCGGAGTTATTAAATACAATGAAAATATTCTCTTTGTAGAGGTCTAATTCGAGAGTTGACAGAATGATTATAATATACTTTGTCACCATCATGATTATAATATACTGTTGTTTTTATAAATGTTATCTAAGCCAATTGCCACTTTCACCTGCTTATGAGAGGGCGTGTTGTTTATTGAACCTAAGTAGTAAAACATGCATGATCGTATATGTAACAAGATGAAATAGCAATTATATTTTTCTACTCTAATGAGATCACTGGTTATTTTGTTGTCAGGATATAATTTACAAAAAATATGGCATAATTCCCAGTGTTAGAACAAAATATCTACAGACTTATAGAGAAAATATTTACGCTTAATTAAGTGTACAAAAAATAAAATTTTATATAGAGATCATATTTGTTTTACTGTTGAACACTCCTCTTGTCATACAATAAGAACAGTTGAAGAAGAAATAAAGTGGAAGAAGTCATCGTTTCTAAGAGCAATGAATTATTAATACTGAACTGTCATTGAAAAAAAAATTTATGTGAACGAAGGTTTGATAGTTTTCAAGCAAGTAATGACATGCTGTGGACATCAACAAAGACAATGTTAAGATTTAGATCGGATAACATAAATTAGTTGGTCTAAATATGTTCTTTACTTACAATGTTCGACAAAAGTAGCGTCCTTCTGTAACTCAAGAATCATGATAGCTAGTGACTTCTAATTTTATGTAGTCATACCTCTCACTGGATGCTAATCATCCCACACTGAAGCATGAGCCTCTTTTGCATGTTGGTCCGTGAGATATGAGCATTTTATTTATTTTCTGTAAAATGTCGATAACTCGTGATCTAAGAGAGATGAAAACTTTTTCTTTTTACAAAAATGTAGTCACGACTCTACTCTATCTACGGTATGAATTTCGTGAGTTAGCTGTTAATGATCAGTGAAATACAGCTATTTTACGGGCGAGGATCGCTTTTTTTTTTTGTTGAAAATTCACCCATGATTGAAACAAACGCAGAAAAGCGAGGGTGAGGAACCCAAGAGGTACTCTTTCTACTATAGAATCTGCGTTCAATGTTCTCGATTGAACAGCATACTTAACACTCGGCTTTCGAACAAAAATATTTCATTGAAAATTTTCTCTCTAGGAAATATAAGGGAATTGAAAAGGCGCAGTACAAGTGAAATAACGAAGGTTAGAGGTGAGTGAGTAATCTTTCTAGCAAAAGAAAAAATCTAGCTTCGTAAAAAGAAAAAGTTTTCATCTCTCTTAGATCACGAGTTATCGACATTTTACGGAGAATAAATAAAATGCTCATATCTCACGGACCAACATGCAAAAGAGGCTCATGCTTCAATGTGGGATGATCAGCATCGAGTGAGAGGTATGACCACATAAAATTAGAAGTCACTAGCTATCATGATTCTTGAGTTATAGAAGGACGCTACTTTTGTAGAATACTGTATATAACACAGCAGTACAATATGTGCATATTCAACGGTATAGGGAAAAATTAACATGCAGCAAATATGTGCATAGTTAGCAGAGGACTGCTCACTCATATATGTGTCTCACAATGAAAAGACTCTTATGTATAATTTTAACTATGTTTTTAGATTACAATTACATTTCCATCGATTAAAACTTTAAAGAATATTGTTGATCGTATGAAGACGTTGAGTAATTTTCTTGTAAGTATCTAGAATTATTTAATATTCAAGAAATAAATTTCATTTTTATTTTTTGCAGATTTTACAAGGAAATAAATCTGGTGAATTAACAGTTAAAATTGAAACAGATTTAGTGTGTGTTGCCACGTACTTCACTGGTTTAGAAAACCCAATTGTTAATGGTAAATATATATTCTCCTTCTATCTTTCTGTCAAACATAAAGTTTGATATAGGTGAAATTCTTCCAAATTTAAGATTTACTCAATAATAAAAAAAGTGTAGAAGTCGATAATATTCCAGTCAATTTTTGAAGTTAAGTGCTGACATCTTCACAGCCTTATCACATTTTTCGAGTTTCACTTGATAAGAATTTCTTTCCTGACTTTGGAAACTTGCACTTATAACAGTTATTCACAAGAAAAGCGATAAATCTAATGTTACAAACTATCGACTAATGTCACTGTTATCAACGGAAGTAAAGTTTTTGAAAAAATAATTCATAAGCGCTTGATCGAGTTTTTATCAAAAACCAATGTTTTTCTGTGCACAACAATTGGTTTTCGTCCTCTATCATCTTCTTTAGATACTTTAATCTCTTTGAGTAACTTCATAAATCAATCTTTAAATAACAAAAAGAAGTTGACTAGATTGTCATTCGATTTCGAGAAGACATTTGATAAAGTTTTTCACATGCTTCGTATCTGTCTAACCATTCTCAAACTATTTTTGCTGGTTCAGTTCTCTCAAGAAAAGTTTCTGTGATATCAAGAATTTCCTAGGAAAGTATTCCAGATCCAATTCTTTTCCTGATCTTCATAAATGGTCTACCGACTTCGATGGGGACAGCGCAGTTATCCTCTCTATTTGCGATGTTTTCTGCTTAGTCGATTTTGATACTGGAAATTTAAGCAAGGTATAAACGTGTACCGTTGAAATGCATGTGTGGTGCGAGAGAAATCTTGTCAGACTTAATGCGGATAAATGTCATTGGATAATGTTTTCTAACTACTTTCATCAAACCAAAACTTTCATTAACCAAAAAAAATTTAAGTGAGCTGAAAATTAATGATGTTTCTTTTGAACGTGTTTTAACCCTGAAATTACTTCAAGTACATCTTGTTCACAATCTCACATGGAAAAAGCATAATAAAGAAACAGAAAATAAATGCCGCAAAATGCTCGAGTCAATCTCTAGAGTATTCGGAACGGTACCATTTTGTCTGCGATTACACTTGTACAAAACGTGTGTTACCAATTCTCGGGTATGCCTTTGCGACAACTCTTTCAAAACTCATCTCTCTGTTCTTGATAGTGTTCAACGTTTTGCTTCAAGAGTTGTAATGAGAGACTTGGTATCGGATTCATGGGAGATCCAAAGTAAATTGAAACGTTGTAGTCTCGAAAAAAAGAAGATTTTACCAAAGATTCACCCATTTTCACAAAATTGTTCGTGACACTAGTCACCTCTATTGTCTAAATTAATTAAACAAGTTGAGATGAGCAGATTTCACACTAAGGCTTCCTCTTCTTTTATCCGTCTAAACTCTCAACAAGGGAATTCTCTGTCTCCCTCGTTAGCACACATCACCAACATAAATATATTTAGAGTATTATTAAAAAATACGTAAGATATTTTTAATGTACAAATTCTTTTTTGTTCTTTCATTCTCTATTAACTTATCTATAGTGACCATACAAATTTTTTCCTCATTCCTCATGTTTTCTCTTTTTGCATTTCTTATACATCTTCTTGATTGCAGTACACTCTAATCTATAAGCAAATATGTTTTGCTTCTTTTGTTTCAAGACTCTTTCTCATCTAGGTCAAAATAAATTCAATTCAATCACTTCAACGCAAATTCATATATTAATGATGTCATTTTTTTCTTTTAAAGACAATGGTAATACGGCAAATAATGATCATCAACAAGCAATAACAAGTGCAGAAGTCCGAATAGATATTAAAAAATTCGCTCAATTTTTAAACAGTCAACAAGCACACGTTGGAAAAGTGATATGTAGTAAGTTTTTGTTTGAATATAATTTATTTTCAACTATGTACGGATTATATTTGTGTACAAATTAAAATTTATTTTTGCTTTAGATTTAGCAAATAATCGTACTGCTCATATATTTGTACTTCATGAATATTTTACATTACAATGTTTATTGCCGTCAATTGCTTACTAGAAATATCAGTATGATGGAATTAAGAAATCATAAGCATTTTTGTTGAAACCTTTGTCAATTACTAGTCATTTTCTTTAACTATGTGTATATGTGTAAATAATAAAGATCAGATGAGTTTTGTTAGTTTTTTTTTTCTTTTTGGTTATTTTATGAAATATAAAAGTTGATCCTTATCTATTAATTCATTTCCATGACTTTTTATTTACTACTCTGTCTAATATGGTTTAATGTCTGAATTCTTAAATTTTAGACATTTTACAAAAAGTAGTCAGTCGATTTTTTTCTCTATAAAATCTTATCGACTTCGTACAAAATTTTAGATCGAAGAGATCAAAAAACAGAGTTTTTATTAAAAATGAAAACCTAAGAAATGTGTAGATTTTTAAAAATTTCTTGAAATCCTTTGCAATTGATTGTTAGACAATGATCCTCCATTGCCTTAGGTACTAATTTGTGTTGTTTGTTTCCCCGGCTATGTTGACACCATCTTAAAACTGACTGAAACTCACTGATTCCGTGCTTAAAAGTCTCGTTCTCAAATGAACTTTGTTGATTTCGAGTTTGGAATTCTCACTCAATTAAGATGTGTGCATGGAGGCTTATTTAATTCATTCAAACTTATTGGTATCGTGCGAAGATACGAAAACCGCCGTTTTGTTGAGGCTCAAGATCCAGCAGAGCCTTACAAATATTTTGAAATCCTGATGTATTTTTTAATATTATTCGTAAAACTTAATATACTCTCGATGCCAACACACATGCGTTAAATCATTTGATAAATAATGACATATAATGAAGTCAATAATGCATAAACATACTTTTTGAGAAGAAAAAGAGAAAAGTTGCCTACATAATCTGGTGAATATATGATGAGTATAAATTGGGAAACGTAGTTTAACATTTCTCTTATCAACGATCATAGATTTCTTTCGATTTTCAGAAGTAATAGTGCTTTTTACGATTCCGTAGATTTCTGCTTGATGAATCTACATTTCCTGAGAAAAACCGGAACACTTTCAAATGATGAGAGTAGAATTTTTTAAGAGTTATAAGATAGAATTTTAAAATTTTGTTTTATAGTATAGATTTCCTGTAATGGGAGTATAGGTTTTATGAAGAATAGAATCATTTGGAAAACTTTTCATGTAAAAGAATTTGGACACAACTTGTTTGATCGTCTAATTAATGAGTAAAAGTCATAATGCATTTGGAAATAGTCGATTTTTGTTTTATCTAGTTGACTGTAAGAGTGAATTAAACGATTCATGTTTTAGATAGACATTAATGATGACAACAAATCCTATTCGAACTAAGGGTGATACACAAGAAGCCATTGAGTTATTTCGTCAGAAAATTGAACAACGAAAATTGTGTGAAAAAAATGCATTCAAAATTTGTATGAAGTTAATTGACGACGAAACGGTCGACGAAAAATATCTTAAAGATTCAGTAAGTAAGTTCTTTCGATGTAATAATAAATAGAAAGAAAAGATTTTATTTTTTTGATCATATTTTAGGCTCAATTCCTTAATCAAGAAAGATATTGTGGCGTAAATGAAGATCGATCATTAAAAAATATTTGTGGTTATCCATTATGTTCAAAGACACTACCAAAAAATGTAATTAAACGATGATATTGTGATAATATATAATCCATTATTGATATATTATCCATTTTAGATATCCAACAATCCATATTTTATCTCAGTGAAAGAAAATAAAGTCTATGATGTTACAGAGAGAAAAGTAAGAAATACATTTGAATTAATTCTTGACTAATAAATATATTGTCCATGGTTCTTTTTTTAGCGTTTTTGTTCAAATTTTTGTTATAAAGCATCAAAATATTTTGAAAAACAAATACCAACATCACCGGTATGGGCACGAGAACATGAACAAATACCAGATATTCAAATACTTTCAAAAAGTGATTTGAACACAGTGAGGTAAACATTAAAATTATTTTCAATATCTTTACTATTGATTTTAGTCATATTTGTAGTAATCAATATGGTCAAGAAATAATTGCTAATGAAATTAGTGAAGCATCTAAATTTATCCTAGAAAATAATGTTAATCAATTGACAAAAAATGTACATAATTTAAAAGTGTCTAGTTCATCGTCACCCGAAGAAGATGATGATGATGATGATGATGACAATGAATTAGCTACTGCGAGATCTGATTATTATAAAATTCATCCAAAACAGCCTATAAACATTCAATTAACATCTCATTACAAGGATTTAGTGTCACGTAAACTACCCATTCATCTTGAAGATAAGACCGTTAATTTTGTTATTAATTGTGTACATGAATGGATAACAGAGAAAACAGTTGATCTAATTCAAAAGAATATATCAATATCAAAACCAATTGAACAAAACGAACAATATCAAAAGTTATGTGCAAAATTGGATCATGAGGAAAGAGCAGAGAATGGATTGTCATCGTCATCGGTAACAAACGGAAAATTACCACCTATTGAAGAATTGAAAAAAAATAATGGTTATGAATTGAAAGTGAAAGAGTTTTTGTTTGGAAAACAGAGTGAACAACAACAACAACAACAGGTAATCAAGCTTCGAACGGTATATAAAATAATATTAGAATATGTTGACATTTGTCGAACCGTATCTTGTACTAACACGAACACAAGATGCCAAGTTGCATTTACGATCTTCGTTAGAAAAATATTAAGTTTTAGCTTTTAATTTTATATTTTGTATTTTCACAGGAAAAATTGAATTCTTCCATTGATTTACCACCCATTGATCCCTATTCACAACACACAATTCGTTTATCGATTGTAAACGAAAAAATATCAACATGGTAAATGTTAATAACAGACATATTTTACTAGAAATATAAAATAATTTAACGTTAATTCATTTAAATTTTAGTTTACAACATATGTCTATGGATAGTAGAAATGAAAGAATACAAAAAATTCATCTAGCTCTACCTGAATTATTGTTAACAATGAGGTACAAGAAATAAAAAGAAATAAACTAAAAAAAGAGATCTAAAATATTGTGTTTCTTCTTTATTCTCTAGTTTCGATAATGAAAATATTGCATTAAAGCCAAATGAATGGACAATTGTAACATTAATTATTCTTCATATGTAAGTACACATGCACTGCTAAAAAATACATTTAAACTTTATTGAGAAATGTACAGGCCCGTAACCAGGGGAGGCGGAGATACCCGTTATACCCGGGCACATCCCATAAGTAAAAATTGCTATCTAACTGCTAGGAATCAGGACCAGTACAACCAAAAAAAAAAATGCAAGAAAACCCATATATCGACTTACATCTATAGTGCATCCCCCTTATGAGAAAACCCTCTGAGATGGCCAACTCAGTTTTCTTTCGCTCATATACCAATCGATAGTATATATCGAGGTAGTAAAAAGCTTAAAAGGGTTCGTACCCATGGCTCTTGAAGACCTGATTTTCTGAAAAACCAGTTTTTCAAGAACTCTAAAAAATAACCAAAACCTTTTCTTAATAAGGCATGATTGTAGCGCGCAAATTTCTGATTAAAATGAGATATCTCCCAGCTCTACACAATCTTTCTTTGCAAAGTTATAGAATTTA